TAGAATCACATTTTTTTTTTCATAGCATAATAACAAGCACTTACCACCTCGAAGAGCAAGAATGTTCCTAATTCCCAATGCTTTAGCTTTCATCAAGTGCTTAGTCACTGTATCTTTCACTGTATTAGCACAAGAAATGTGCAACATAGTTTCAAGACCACAGTAGTTTAAAGCAGCACTGGCTATTGTCATGGAACTTGTTTCCTTATCCCCACCAGGGTCTCCAGCAGGATGCCATGTCACATCACAAAATAATGGGCATCCCATAGAAATCCTGTCAAACTTGGCAATCAAGTTCACTGCTCCATTTGGAGTTCTTGGAGGAAAAAATTCCAAGCTGAAGAATTTTTCTTTAGCTACAATTTTCTGATTGATTTTTTCAATCAGTGTTAGGGGCGATGAAGGAACAGATGGTGTATTGCTTTTTGATCCCTGGTCATTATTCACACATTGAAGCAGTTCCATAGCAGGGGCTGTGTCTTGACGTCCGAATCCCATTGTTTACGAATGCAAGTATGTCTGCAAAAAAAATTATTTTAGGTTAGTGCAATACTAAGCTGAAAGGTAGGTCTCTTTGAGCTGGTGCAAAGTGATTATATTTAATCCTATTTAAGTATTGATAATAAATTTCCAAAACAATAAAATTTTGTATAATGTCTTTTGAAATTTATTTAATCTTAAATCATTTTCTGCATTATTTTAATTCCAAGGACTTAAGCATCGTAACAATTGTACCTGTCCACTGAAAATCCTCTTGACAAAAGGTGTCAGTAGTTTTTAAAATACAAAAAAGGTATCAAGAGCAAGACTGAGTGAACAGCGATACAGACTGAAGCAGCCAAAACAATCAAAACAATAAAATATTATCATATCATCAATGTAAATTTCGAATTAAATTTTAGGATTGCATCATTTTTACTCTGAAGTAAGCAACCAAACGAAAATAGACTGTATCGTTAAATTTTGAATGTTAATACAGCTTCGATGGCATTGTTAGTGAAGTGCTGGCACTTTTCATATAGCTTTAGCTTTGGACCTTGAATATTCAGTTACCGCGATGAAATTTTTGCTACAAACAAATAAAATTAATAGCATTGTTTATTAGCATTGCTTAACAAATTCGTGGAAAACTCAACTCCGATTTCGTGCAAAACAAGCTCAATGTAGGTTAATTTTGGAGAGGATCGTGTAAATGTCAGCAAAAAAAACATGTTGATTTTTTAAGTGCATTTTTAAAATTCAAGACTGAGCGAAGTCCAATCACGTCTACTCAATTAAGTTTTTTTTCACCAGATGAGCTGCTAACCTGGCCTTGATCGATTCGCAGGATACATTGAAGGAAAGATAGCGTTTTTCTTCGCTCACTGCTTAAAAAAATTCGCATCCAGGATTTTCTCAGGTTTTCATCTGCGGGCCGGATGGCCTTACGTAACTGCATTTCGCTGAAGTATAGAGAACCACAGGTCTGCAACGGTCTTCCTACACAATCTTGACGTTAATTTTCCATTTTCAATGTTCGTTCGAATTTTTAGAATACATCCAGAGTTAACCAACATGACGCAAACTCAATTTAATTCCAATCTCAACTCAACCGACTTCCAGCCGATGCGATAAGTCGTAAGTAAGTTTAAATTTCAACTCGTTCCCTTATGCAGACCGTTCGCATCAAGACTGGTTTGACGAGTATGACCGGGTTCAGCCGGGGTTAACCAGTTTTGGCGTGGAAAATTTTAAAATGCTCCTCACCTTGGGGTACAAAAAGATTGTTGGCAGTTATCCACACAAAGCAACTCTTTACAGACAACTCACGAATTAAATGCCAGCGACACTGGTTCTTCTCCAACTGGTTCTCCAACTCTTTATCCTATGTGATTTCCCGTCCGCCATATTAGGTGAAATCTTTCGAAATTCGCTTGCCTGGTTCACGTGCATTTGACCAATCAGTGTTGGCGTTATTTTCAAATGCAGTAAAGTGAAAACCCAAGGTTTTAACCATCTACCAATCACATGCTTTGTATTGTTTCAAATGATAAGAGAGTTTCACAACTTTAAATGCCTAGCCGTAGCAGCAATGTACGCTAGCTGGAAAATTACATTGTCATTTCATAACATTCTATTGGGAAACAGTGGTTTTCGTGCCAACAAAGATTTTTGGAATCACTACCCGACTGAAGAGATATCGCCTGAGTTAAAAGCGTGGAGCTAAATTGTACATCAATGTGTACTTAATTCTTTGTCACGAAACGAACAATCAGGCCTTAAATAATCCTTAGAAGAATTGCATGACGGAGGAATAAATAAAATATATCTTTTCTGATTTTAATTGACTAACTCCTGTACAAATATCGCGTTTTAATCTACATCGCAAAGAATGTTTGCGAGGCGTTCCGTGACTACACCGTCACCTCGGGTAACAGAGGAGACTTCATGCTAATTTACAGTGCAACATTCAACATTAAAATTATTTAACTGTTCCAAGGTGTTTTCAAACATAAAAGCAGTTCGAGTGCTATACGGCGTAGTCCATTTTTTATTCAAATCAAGGAATATAACGACTGACCGGGAATTCGACACGTGCGTAGCTAAACATCTGTTACTTCGGTACGGCATTAGCACTGGATATTAAATGCCGTTTGCTTAGCCCTCTAAAAGCTGTCAAACTTCTTTTCGTCGGGTTTTCTGTTTTACTTCCAAAAGCGCCTCTCTCGGGCACTTTTGTTTCGGTATCTAGCGACGCGGGACTAGCCTTTCACGGTAGGGTACGAGTGAATTTTCAGTAGTTTTACTCTTCACCAGTAATGATCTCCTCCCCATGACAAGCAGTGATGATCAAGCCGGGTTATGCTAGGAAGGATGTTATTCATGTGCATTTTGGCTAGATTTGTGATAATCGGCAGATGCCCTGCATGTGAAATGGGCCACTCTGATATCGGTCGACTTTCATAGTTTCGGGTTCATACCAACTCAAGAAAAAAAGGAAATAATTAAATGTCGCAATGGATGTCGGATTCGGCGTAACTTAATATGGGAAATTTCTTCCTACACAACCATAAATATCTGCTTACTTTAGGCATCGTCCATATCCCGTAATTTTTTTTCGCAAAGCGATCAGCAAAAAAGGGTATAAGCAAACAACTCGGTAATCGTAACCGAGGAAAACCTCATCTCCGATTTGCTGAGGGGTTGGGGGAGAAGGGGTTGTACGCGTGAGAGAATATCTGCATGTATAAAGCTAGTACTGATTATATGTGCTTAGTATGGGGAACATGATTACTCAGGTACAAAAACAGGGGAAGCAAGTGCTTATTTATCATTTTTGCCGGGGAAGGGTCGGTTGTTCGAGGGAAGGTGCCAATTCGGATTCACTTTAATTGTCTGGTGCGCTGGAAGGTAACAGGAGGAGAATTATTTGCACAACATTTAATAACTACATTTGGTATATATAACGTGATCAGCTTAACATTATTTTTACTGTGACTCGACAGCCCATAAATAAAATATAGAACTAAATAAGCCACTTAATTTGAGGTAAAAATTGATAATCTATAGCTTCAAAACACAAATAAACTATCCTATGTATAATCGTAATCATTTCAAGGCTTGTATTTCTGTATTTCTCGTTATAACATTTGATTTCAATGTCTATATTTCTTGCTATAACATTTGATAAATCAAGTTTTATTTTATTAACCCTCTTTCCTTAAAACATCACTCCTGAATAACACATTGAGGTCACGGGTATAAATGAAATGATTACCAACAAGAGAAGCTCTCAAATTCTCCTTGTCAACAGCTGGGAAATATATAGAGAATACTATGGAGAATATACATACTGATGTTAGAGTGTAAGGGATTAAGAGAGGACGAGGTCGAGAGCTCTTGGGGATTACGAACAGAAAAAAAAAACTTTTAAAAAAAGGCATCTCAAAGAGTTCTCCAAATTAATGCCATTAAAAACAGGTTGGAATAATTCGTTTCTTTTGCAACAAATTCCATGTGAGAACGATAACCTTCACAATTAAAATATTTTGTACGAAAGCAAGACAGTCGCACGCGAGAAAGTAGACAAGCGGGACTTCTCGCTCCCGCGTGACGATCTGAATCACTTGCACGCTGTTGAATCAAGTAAAGTTGAATCCACTTTAGTTAGACTCTCAATAGCCTGGACACGAGGTAATTTCCTTTGTCCTCAATGGTTTTGTACACACTTTACTCTTGTAAAACACAAGGCTTTTTCGCACTCGCGCAAGTGTCTCAGGAAGTCTTGCCCTTCTAAAAATTTTTGCTTAAAAAGTTTCAAAGATTTCAACCAGTATTTCAGCCGTGGTGGTGACTCTTACTCTTGATATAATTACGTTTCATTTTTCTAAGAAAATATCTAGAAATCCAACTCGATTCAGAATGTTGCCCAATACTGATTCAAAGCGCGGAAAGTCAAAATAAACGTTTTTACCCATTTACTCCCAAGATGTAATAAGTAATTCTCCCCACTAACTGCAACACATTTCATGGTAAATAATACTAACAAATTTGGTTTTGGAACAAGATAACACCCCCAGCTGGTAAGCTTATCTGTTCTCATAATCTGTTGTTAAGACAACATATTATCGTAATTTTCCGTAGAGTGTCGAAAGTAATCCGGGATTGCTTTGGTTTCGCTTTAATTCGGACTGTGATTGGTCAATAAAACTCGTACCATGCTCTGAACCAATCACAAGCCGAACGAAAACAAATCGTGACTTGGTCGTCCGCGTTTTTGGTAGTTTGCCTGTTTTTAGTTTGAGTCCTCAGTGGCCAATGATGACGCAAACATTTGCTATGAATGAGTGTTGTGATATCTTTGGTTTGGGTTTTTGAACAGTCATTTGAAAACTGCTGTAGAATCGAAAGGACAAATTACACCTTAATCGCTTGTGGGAGCTAAAGAGTTAACAAGTATACATTTGATTTGAATATCAACGGCGACAACCGACTAAGCTCAGGTGGCAAAAATTGAGTAGAGGGTTTATACTTCTTCGTCCTCAAAATTTTGAAAAATGTATTCAGCTGCTCGATTTAAATCCCAAGAACAGTGTGTCAAAGTTCTTTCACAAAACACCTCAGATTTGCCGGTGATTTTTGACAGTTTTTGTATTTTGACAATTCGAACAACCTGTTCCACATCACCTTGATACTGTAACAGAGCTGCATAGCACCAGTCTCGAGCCAACTCTTCCCCACAGATTCGGCGAATCTCGCGGATCCCTCCATCTATCTCCTCTCCGTATGTCCCTTCCTCGGAAGTTTGAACTTGATCACCAGGTTGGGTAAACGGATCAACAAGTTCATTTGGGTTGGCAGGTCCAACAGGATTGAATGGTTCGTGTGGTTCAACAAATTGGGCGGCCGAATTTGGAAGTTGGTTCACTGCATTCACGTGTTCAACGCCGAGGGGCCAATCATTCATACCCGACGCATTCTCCCAGCTAGCTAGGACGGAAAGTTGGTTACTCAAGGATCCACCAAAGAGGTTGTCGCGGGAGGGTGGGGGCTGGTTTAAGACTTCCGGAGGAATTTCTGGTGGCATTGGTAAATTGAGTGGTATGTCGTAAATTGGTTGAGTATCTTCAAACTCATCCTCTCCATTGGGTGAAAGATCTCTCTGGCTACCTGGTGATGGATTTAACGTTTTGGCGTTCTCATAGACGCGGTCTTGTATTGGATAGCCATTATGGGCTGCACCAAGAGCAGCTTGGGACCTGCTCGACAATTCTTGACCGTGTGAATTTGGTAATGTTAAAGAATCCCCAATGGGAACAGGAGTTTTGACTATGATGTAGTGTTTGTTCTTCACTGGTTGCTCAGACTTTAAGTCTGCTTCCGACGGCTGGTCTTGCATTTCTAACTGGAACTCGTTCTCGTCATCATCTCTCTCATCTGGCCTTCCTTCCAGGCTCAGCTCAGCAATTTCGTCGAGACCCACTTCATTGCTACGATCTTCAGTCGTTTTTGGCGCGCGTTTTGCGCAATGATATGGAATAGGCATTGGCGGAGGTACTTTTTTATAAACGGACTTCTGGGTCCCATTCGGTCTGGCTGAGGTAGAAATACTCTCTGAATTCGAAATTCTGGGCAAATTGTCTTTAATATCTAAGAAATTTTCATCACCATCGGAAGCTGGTCGAGGTTTCTTTGTTCTCGGGGTTGGGACAGGTCTCCTTCTCGGTGATGTTCCAAAAGGGCTCGAGGATAATATTCCTTCAGGTGGGCAGCTTCTACCGGTTCCCAAGGAATTAATTGTCTGAAGGTTTAGACGAAGAGGAATTTGGAGCGTGTGTGTACCAGTATTTTGATTCGAACTTGATGAATGCTCGAGTGAAGGTTCGTCTGTCGAACCACTTCTGTCCTTATATGTTGTACATGGAACAGCGTCCTCCTTTAGCGCGGCATAGTCACCGGCATCACTGCCTCGAGGAACACGATTCTGATGGTCCATACTCATGTAGTCTTCCTCCAAACTCAAAACGCTTTCCTTTGAATATCTATCCTCAGGAACAAATTCTGGGGCACACTTCCTGTCAACCATGGGAATGTACACAGGGTGTTGCGCAGCAGGAGTAGCCTGTGGTATATTCCCGTGGTCTATGCCTGGGTGACCTGTGTAACGATCTGGACTAAGCGGATTTGTGGGGTCGTCTGCTGTATCATCTCCAAAGTCTAGGGAAAAAAAACAAAGATGAAAATGAGGCGTCACAACGAAATCCTCGAAATTGCCTTTCTAACAAACGTTGGGACACACATCTAGAGGAACCCTTTGAAGAAAACAACAAAAAATAGTTTTGACTCTAGTATCTTCAATTTTAATTAACCATAACAAGAAGAGAGTTTGGTGGTGCGATTTCCTCCTTTCCTCCCTCTAAAGAATAAACATAGGAAAACGAAAAAAACGATGAAAAGAAAGGCATAAGGCAAACAGTGCTTTCCTGATATTTTGGTCCTAAAGGCAGACTAATCAAACCCTGACCGCTCATTGGTTCGCTAACGGAAGATGTGAACACGAGCCATCAAGGACAGTACTCAAAAGCCATTTTCAATTGTCATTTAAAAATAAGACTGGGATGGCATTGGTTATATTTTCTGTGCTGTGAAGTTGATAGAGAGGACATGGGGTCACACTCTCAGCCAAAATTAACATGTGACGCGTTAATTTTACAGAAAGGCGAACGTGATTCGTGAATTGAACCAGTCTCAGGTGTGATTTGCCTTTTGAAATATACGGGACTCGTGATTTTTCTCTTTCACTTCGTGGAAACCTCGAGATTTCCCTGAAGTATTATACACAAAAGGAGAGATTTTACGTTTTTCCTTTTAACTTCGTGAACACTGTTTTTTAACTAAAATTCGTACGCGAAACGGATAAAGACACCCCTTGGCTATCCTCTCATATAACACTCTATTGACAATCGTACTAGTAAGATGTGGATTTGATAAGAAACGAGAAAATGGTGAAAAGTAAGTTGATTGACCTCAGTATGAATAAACCTTCTATAGCCGCAGGTCACTAAAGGTCAAAACGCACAATAGATTGCAAAAAAAAAATTGATTGAAACGTTAGTTTTTCCTTAACTCTACAAATTCTAAAGGAAGTACATTGACTCAATTTGTGACCTACTGTGCACAATTTTTAGACTTACCCATCAAATTTTGAACGCCTCTGTCCTCTACAACCTCAGTGATCATTTTCCCAGGAGTGGCGGCGGCACCTCTGTAGTAAAAAAAAGCAAAAAAAAAAAACAACAAAAAAGAAAAAAGGAAACAAAAAAATGTATCTTTAAAATGGGTAATTTCTAGTGCGATCGCCGAAAGAAATTTGGCGCAAGAGGGGGTGGAACTGTGTTCATGTGTTAGTAAAAGGTATTTAGCACAGTTGTTAGTTCCTGAAGAAATTCTTGTGGTTGTTTGGTGTGAAAAGTAAAACTTACTCCGAAAAAGGACTTACGCTCGAAGTCAGCTACTCTACATTCTCTATGATAGTTTATCTACCCTGATCTACCTTTCATTGCTAGTGAATTTAGTAACTCGAACTCAAACCACGCCTCGGGGAAGGAGTTTTATAGGGATACATCGCAGAGATCACGTGGCTTCTCTCAGAGTGCCCAAAAGTCTAGAGTCATGTTTGAATTGTTCTCTTAGCACATACGAATGTCCGTGATAATCGAGCTAAGTTAGTTTAATAACAAAAAAGAATCAATGTTTGAACTTACTTTTGCGAATGGCTCAACCCCTTTTGGGAGCTTTTTCTTGAAATGTTAAATGGTCGCCCGATGTTACTCGTTGATTTGTTACTATTTGGGAAAAAAAATAATACATGACTTGTTAGCATGGAAAACTCTTTGACTAGTCACTGACAGAACTAGTAGGTTTGCCTTGGCAAACCTTTTAAAAATGAACAGACAAAAAAGACTCAACATTTGATTGCTTTTCCTCAAACTCATTAATTATTCGTAAGGTGATCATCCAACCAAGACACGCCAATTTCGTCACGTGCATGTGGTTTCGTCAGGGTTTCCAAACACTCGAAAACAGTAAAAACACTCGGCTTGCAGCCCCGTGCTCTATCAGTTTTCTCGTGTTTGGAAACCCTGATGAAACCCTCGCACTCGGTTTTGAAACAGTACTTCATTTTCTCGTGTTGAGAGCAGTCGCACCTGAAGTTTAATCCACGTTTTTCTCCTAATTGACACGAATGCACATTAACCCGCAACGTGCACAAGATTAAGTCTCCGCTTGGTTCAGTTTGTACTTTTTTTGTTGTGATTGTTGATGTGTTTCCTACCGTAGTTTCTTCCGAACACTAGCTTAAGAGAGCTACTCAAGAAGGCTATATGTATATATTTTCAACGACACTGGTTAATCCGCGAATGGAAAAGCATCTCTCGAACAGAGTTCATACACAGCTGAGCTCGCAACAAGTTTGAGACAGCTATAAAGATAACTGGTGATTCAGTACACTACTTTGAGTCAGTTCAGTCTGATTACTAATCTGGTTTCACTACTGAATAAAATCGTCTATTCAAGACTTTTTAGCTCTTTACACACTAAAATCAGTATGCATATTCTCCATACTGTTCTCTATACATTTCCCAACGTGCTGACAAGAAGAATTTGTGTTTCAATCAAGAGCTTCTTTAGTTGCTGATCATATCCTTTATTCTTGTGACCTAAATGTGTGGTTTGCGAGTGATAATGTAAGGAGAAATTAGATGTTAGTCAATCTATGGGGTCAAAGGGTTAATAAAAGCCAACCACAGGCACTACCATACCTTGCATGTTTTTGCAGGGCTTTTTTGTTGAAGTCCAAGTTCCTCTCATGCACCAGCCCTGTTTTACCGCATTCACTTTGAACATACCACATACCTCTCTTTCCTCTGTAAATACAATCAGAGAGTACAATAAAAAGAGTCTGCAACTTAAAAAAACCAATCCCAGTTTAAAAAGTACACATGCAATTGGGCTCTACACGGTGGCCGTGCGCTGCGGGTTCTAACTTTTGCGTCTGTTTATGATATTCTGATGCATGACCAATCAATTGAAATAGAGTGAGAGCCACTGGGAGGTACATTCATGGGTTTTGCTGGGTAAGATAGGTGCATTTTTAAGATCTCTGGATATGAAACCCTTTTCACTGATCTCTAAAACATAGGCTTCATTCATTTTTATAGGGTTTCAATAAAACCTAACGGGGGTGGTAGGTGTCTCTGACTCGTCCCTGGTCATTTCTTACTTAAATACGCCGCTGCGGGGTCGAGAAAGACTAGTACTACTTTCCTCCCTTCCCATCTTCCCAGCGCGCACCTCTCGCGCACTTTCACTGTCAAAATCAGAGAGAAGACTACACACAAGTTAGGGGCCTTCCCTTGTGGGGAGGTGACCGTTAGTGTTGGATCAAATGTTTGTTTCCTCACATGTGTCACCTGCCAGTACTCAAAAAAAATTATCTTTGATCTAATTACTTTCCGTCTCAAATCTTTTTCTTTTTTTACCTTCTGATGATAGTCACTTTCACTTTATTCTTGAAACTGAGATGGCCCTCCTCCTTAGTGTGGTGCGCGATTTTTGTTATTGCCTCCTTAGGCTGGAACTAAAATTTTGGGGAGAAAGAGTTGAGTTTGAAAAGAAATGGCAGCATTCCGAAAGTTGTTGCTCATACTTTTGTCTTGTTATATGCTCTAAGAAAAGAAAATATCAGAGTTTCTTGCCAAAACGGAAAGGTGGAACTCGATTTTCTCTAAGCCGTTGTCGATAACCCTTAATAAGTATGTATTATAACATAGTCTACAGGCGAAATAACTGTGTCCTTTCACCAAGATAACAAAACTTCTTTGGGATATCACGCAGAACCTTAAAGGGTTGCGTGACATCCCGTAGAGCAGCTGCAAAGGAGATTAGACTTAAGTTCTGCCCGCTAAATACAAGGTATACGATTAACATGGGTCTACTTTCACTTCAAGTCTGCAAGGGTGATCTTTTTAAGTGGGTAAAAATATTCAGCTCACTTTCGATATGATGTTGTAAATTTCTTCAAAACTCGGTCTTTCTTCAGCATCACGCTTCCAACAGCTTAACATGACGTCATAAAAACCATCTGGACATGCATCGGGTTTTAGAAGTTGTTTGTCTGGCTCATTTACAAGCATCATCTTGATCTTAAAGAAATCCAACACGAAGAGCATTCAATGGTTAATAGACCTTTTTCATGACCATTTTATTTATTTCTTTTAGGGATAAGTTTACAACACAAAATGGCTTGCACGTACATTAAAACATGTAAGAGATGACAATCACAAAATTTATGTTTCATTGGACCTCGGGTCAAAATAAATCGAAACTTTGTCGTATTTCCTATATTCCTTTTTATTGAACCTCGAGTCAAAATAAATCGAAACTTTGTCGTATTTCCTATATTCCTTTTCATTGAACTTTGGGTCAAAATAAATCGAAATTTTGTCGTATTTGCTATATTCCACCATCACTATAATAAACCTTGAACACAGCGAAAACACAAACGATGCGAGAATTCATCTTTACCCGTGAGGGTGACTAGCATCTAATTTCTCACTAAGGTATCACTGATGAACTAAACATTAGGGTCATGAGAATTACGGAAATAATCACAGATTTGAAAAGCTCTTGAATTTCAACAAAAAATAATTTTCCTTGTCAGTGCCACAAAAACTGTATAAAGAACAATTAATGGAGGATACATACATAACAATATCGAGGTGTTGGGGATAAACTAAAAAGTCATTTTAAACAACAACAACAACAACTACTTCCATTAGGTAAGAGTGTAAAATAGTCAATTTGGTTGTTTTTTTATACAAAATTTGGAGAGCATATTTGTGTGGAAAGAAAAAAAAGAAAGAAAAAATTTCAGCAGTGGAAACTTTCTCAGGTTTTAGATAAAGAGTAAGCCTGCAGTCATTTGCTAACACTTTGTTTAATACAGACACACTGTAAAGTAAACATCTTGCTTTAAGTCTTGGTCATACCTGTAGAAGTGACATTTCAGCCCAAGGGGTTTGACCAAAGGAAAACATTTCCCACAGAGTGATCCCATAACTCCACACATCACTTGAAAGTATAAACCGATTCTCCTTTATGGACTCTGGTGGTAACCTGAAAAAAAAAAAATTAAAAAAAATTGAGGGAAAATAAAACGTCAATATTCAGTAAACATTCAACATTGACGTATTCCAGTTTAGAAACTTACCAAGGTCAAAATATAACCAACAATATTGCAAGATCCATCAAAATTATGATCGTAATCTGTGTTAGAGTCTTTTTCCTTTTTGAGCAGAGGTAGGGTGAAAGGCATAGGATGAGGGGAGGGATGGTGAGGGGCCTGCTCCTCTCCTCTGGCTTGTTCCTTTCTTTTTCTAGTTATGGCAACAAAATCTCACAATCTTGCTTTCACTCAGCTGAATGCTTAAGTTTCTCCCACTTGGATAAAAGGAAAGGGAAAGGCCTGCTATCAGTTTGTACCAAACGCACACTGAGGGAATAATTTCATGTTTTGAACTGACTAGATGGTCATTGAAAACAGCTTAAAAATAAGCCCCCACACACCAGTCATCTCCAATAATCCTATCTAAAAATTATCTGAAATTAAATCAACAAATTAAGTAATATTTAAAAAAAATATGAGCTTTGACTTAATTAGCCCAATATCTGCCTCATTGAAGCAATTTTGACTACAAGCTGCAGCAGCCATAGCTGCTTGCTGTTAGGTGATCTTTTACCCTTTCTACTTCCAAGAATAAGTTGTCTTCCTTCTTGAACAAACAGAAAAAAAGAGCCTAAAGGTTGTGGGCAATTTTAACATAAATAACAAGATACTTTTTGAACAATTTCAGCCAAAGAACAGAAATCTTCTTACCAAGCAACTGCCATTTTTCTGTCAACTGTGATCTGTGCAGAAGCTCCTCCTTCTAGTGAGCGAGCTAATCCAAAGTCACTTATCTTCACCTGTAAAACAAAATTTGTGAGGCCTCATTATTCACAACGTTATTCCACACCTGACTACATTTAAAAGAAACAATAAATTACTTGGGAACCTTGGGAACCAGGATGGGTATATGTCTACATGTACATGTAAAGGTAACAGTACATATCAGGCATTCTGATAGGTTGTGCTATGAAAGAAAAAAAAAAAAAAAAAAAAAAAGGAATTTTCCCAATTCAGATTATGCATTATGAAAGAAAAATAGTGTGACAAATAACATGCTAATTTAACAACTTTTTTACAAGAGGAAACAAACTTTGTCTGGGTGGACTTCAAAGGGGGTCACTATCACTAGGAACCCACACTAGATAGCCAGTGTGAGTTTAAAGAACGCTTGAGATCTCTCATCTTATAAGAAAAAATAAAGACACTTGATCCCATTTCTTTGACCACCTTTGTCTTTTTGCCCCAGTTACACAACTTTGGTGACCAATTTTCGGAGGAGTTGACCAAAAGCATGACCTAGGGTTATCAATTTCACTTTAGACAACAACATCAACATCAACTTCACAAGACCTAATACATACTACTTGGAGACTTTTGTTTTGTGGGAAGAAAGGAAGTTTCTTAAGTAAAGTTATAGTCCATTAAAATTTTTCTTGGGTCCAAAAATCATGCTCTGGCCTCACTGTGCATTTCCTATTTACTATCACATCTGGATACTTCATTGACCGCAGGTCCCCAGCCAGAAAACTAGGCATAACGCATTAACAAGTTATCCTAATAGCTTAAGTTTCCCATTAAATCTACACAAACTCTGAAAGCATAATTAAGCACAAGAAACATATGTATCAAAGTGTATCTATGTCAGGTTTTTTTGGACCAAATTATGTCTCTGATGTTTGCTCTTTCTAATACCTTCCCAGACATGTGGAGATATGTTCCCATAAAAAAAAACTGTACTTACCAAAGCTGGTTCAAAAACAAGAATATTTCTTGCAGACAAATCACGGTGGACTAAATTCTGGTTGGCCAGGTAGCTCATTCCGTTTGCTACTTGCATGGCAAATTTACACAATGAGGACACCTGGCATATCTCTATTTCTTTCTTCTTGAGGTTTTCTTCCAGAGAACCATAAGCAGCAAATTCTGTTATCTGTACAAAAACATAACCATAATTACTTGATGGAGCACTTTGGCAGATAGAATTATATATATATATATATATATATATATATATATATATAAATATGTAAATATATATATATATATATTTTTTTTTTTCGTTGGTCACAGTTCAGCCTCTAACTTGGGAGTGGGAGTTATCCTTAAACCATATTTCTAAAAGAAATCATAACAAGAAATTGCTCACAATAGAACAGAACCCTTTCTGGTGGGAAAGTGTGCAGCTTGCTTTCATTCCCAGAACTTAATTGTTCTGTTTCAGATTCAAGTCCAAATTTTATTAAAAAGAAGGAAAAAAAGTATTATTTATCCAACTTTTTGTTGAGGAATTGTATTTCTGAGCTTGTTTTAGATAGAGTTGTATGTCTTTTGTGCATTAAATAAACAATTTTTTGTAGATTAATCTCAAAAATGGGAAACTTTTTTTTTCTTTTTTTTGGGGGAGGAGGAGGGGGGAAGGGGGGCATAGTGCTTAATATACCAACAGTTTAACTCTCTGATGGTTCATCTAATTTTAGTAATGGCACTCAGTCTGGAGGAAGAAAAATATGAAATGAAACTTGATATTAACCAATTAAATTCAAAATTTTGCAATGGCTTTGATTACCATAAGACAGAAGTTGATGATATTCAACTTGATAACACCAACTGGCACAAGAGAAATGACTCAGTGAAAACAGAATATTACCAGCTTTAGTTGATCCGAATCTCTTGAGGGAAGAGTAACACCAAACAATTTAACAATGTTATCATGAGAGAGTCGTTGCATGGTATTTACTTCCATTAGAACCTCTCTCAGCTGCTCTTTGCCAGTATCCTTGATGGATTTGATTGCCACAAGTATCTGGTAATAAAATCCAAATAGTAATCATGATTATCATGAACTCCAAGTAATTGACTGAGTGAGATGGCCGGATAGGAAATTGTTGGGCTCAAGGTTGAGTGAGCTTATAGATATAAGCACAGTGAGGTTCATACTTAATGACTAGCCAGACCTAACCTGGGCAGAGCTAAACTCTGCATATAAATCTACAAAGAACCTACTATTCCTCCAATTGCTTTGACAAAAGGCTAATGTGTGAAATGTCAGCTTTTAAACTCTTAACAGTAACCAGTTTACAATCAACTCAGTTGATAATACTAAATTACCCTGTTTTGTCATGTAACCAACCTAACTCATTCAACAGGCATTATATCATATGACCACTCTTTCTCTTCCCCCTCTCTTCTTCCAACTTGCATGTCACAGGGCCAGACAGTTTTTTTTTTTCGGACCCCGCAAGCACCATCATGTATGGCTGCGTACAAGGATTCTTTATATAGTCTTTTATAATACTATACTAGGTCATGTGACAAGATAATTTAGTATTATCAACTAAGTTAATGTAAATTGGCCACTGTAAAGAGTTAACCCTTTAACTCCCACAAACTTGTTAGCAATTCTCCTCACTGTCTGCCATACAGTTCTTTGTAATGTTAGTTTGGAGAATATGGTATTCAATCAACAAATAATCCCCTAATTGATCTTTTTCTTTATTCTTGTCACTTGTCTGCTTGATATTGTATTGATATTGTGAGGAGAAATTCTGTCTTGGTCACTCACAGGAGTTACCATAATTTCCATGTATGGCTGATTACCCACACCGGCAGATTATTGCATTCGGCAAAAATAAGAGTCAACAGATTACCTGCACTGGTGGATAACCCACATGTTATGTTATTCAACTTTTTGGTGGTGAAAACGTGACATTAAGGTGATACATTTCAGTCTTTTTAAAGTTGTCTGATCTAACTTTTGAAAACTTGAAAGCTTCTTTGTCAAGTTTAAAGGTCAAAGAAATTCAGATGCATGCACAATTCGGTGTCAATATTAGCATGTACTTTATTGATAAAATTAAACAGTAAAAACACTAGCGGCCCATGCCCAAATCTCAACATTTCATACTTGACAGAATGTGAATTTGTGGCCACATTTTGTGTGAGCGATTATTCAGCGCCATGTTGATTTGTTGAAGAAAGCTAAGTGAGTGTTAAAACTTGAATTGTAAAGTACTGTTGGCAATTTCTGAAAAAAAAATAGATATCTCCGGTTCTATTGGCCTAACAAGTCTCTTAAAACTGGAAAATTCTCTTTAGCTTAAGCTAGTGTTAAATGGAAATTTGTTACTGATGCACTGGATATCTTTGGATTATTTTTATCACCATCAAGGTCTTGTTTACACATGTGCTAATAACAATTTGTTTGTCACGCAACTAATTATGCGTGAAATAAACTAGTGTCAGCATCATGTTTTCGTGCCACTTTGTGGCACTCTTAATGCAATAAAATTCATTTGAGAGGTGAGGTGCATATGGGTGAGAATTGTTTTTCAATTCAACTACCAGTAGATTTTAAAATTGTCACATAACCTACACCTCCCTATTACCCACAGTGGCACATGTTAAATGCAAAATCAACAGATTACCTGTGGGTAAATGGCCGGAAATTATGGTAAAAGGTTAAAAGCTGATGTTTCAAGTGTAGTGCTTTGTCAGAGCAATTGACTGCCACAAGTATCCAACAACTGCTCTAGCAAAGGGCCACCACTTGAAACATCAGCTTTTAACTCTTTGCAGTAGCCAATTTATGTTATCAAGCAAACTCAGTTGATAATGCAACACTATAAATTACCCTGTTATACTCTCCCACCAACACAGCACCACAGTTTCATTAGAAACTTACCCCCCTTATTCAAATGATAAGATAGACTCGTCTGCATCTGATATATATGCATTAATATGTGAAACAGGAAAGGCAAGTCATGTAAATATAATTAAAGCTTGACACCCAGGTAGTTCTCCTATACACATATAAAACAAATTGATTGTACTAAACCATGATTTCTAGTTTTATCACTTTTCTGATTTCTTGTTTTGGCTTTCCTCCTTTGAAAGAGTTCCTAAATTCTGTATAAAGTTCAGTAACCAACTGATTAGCATGCCGAATGCTAAGTTGAGAAGCAAGGGTTTAAGACCTGGCTGATATTGAGTAATATTGTGTATTTTGATGCTTCACTCCCATGTTGCCCATCTCCACCCATGAAGAGAGCTTGACCCTCAAAGGGCTTCTGGCTGACCAGTGATATGAGCTACTTGAAATGAGTGCTGAATTTTACTAGATTCTTGTCACTAGTTGGGTTGCAGATGGCAGTGGATCTCAGGGAGAGGTGCAGGAGGTGCACATCCTCCCTGCCCCTCAGATGACTGGCTGCTTTCTAATGTAAGCTCAAGGTCATAAAAAATCTACTATGTTGTTAGCTATTGTATATATTTTCTGCAGTTCTTATCATGTTATTGCCTAGTCGTAAGCTGTTTGCTTCATACTTGCTCCCTTTTAAGATTTGTTTATGACAACCATCAATTACGTCACGCCTAAGAAATGCACCCCCTCCTAAGAAAAATCCTGGATCTGTTCACTCCTAGAGGAGTTCTTAAAAGTGAAAAAAAAGGAATAATAATGATAATAATAATAATAATAAATAATAATAATAAAAAAGATTTGTCTTTTGCATCTTATCATCAGTAAGCCTTTGCTTAGTGTGCTAGATCTAACTCTCTTAGCCAGAGCCAACACTATACTACCAATACTTTTAGGGGCTCTTGATATTAGTTGGCAAATTTCCGTACTTGTTTTTGAATGAACTGAGATGCTATGCAACCCCTGTTTTTCAATAGTATAGTTACAACTGTACCTTATCTTTTGCATTTGGCGGTTTCCACTCTCCCAGTTCCACAACACCATATTGCCCTTCGCCAAGTTCTTCTAAAGCCTTTAGGTCTTCTGGTGGAATAATATGGTGGCCAGGGCTGACAGGTGGGTTTGAGTCACTCCTCTTGTCCTGTTAACATTTGACAAACAACAGCATCAGTTTCACTAGACCTTACATAATACTTGTAGAGTTTGTTTGGTGGGACAAAAGGAATATTTGTGGGTCAAGTTATAAGCCACTGAATTTTTCTTCTCCTGGTCTCACTTGCATTTTCTATCTACTAACACATCTGGATACTTCATTCTGCAGATCCCCAGCCAGGAAAATAGGCATAACAAATAAACAAGTTATCCCAGCATGTATTCATAACTGACTGATTAGATTTTGATAAACTGCCTCACCATTGACTAACACTGGCTACCCTCAGGCAAGGACAATTTTGAATACAATAACAATAACAAAAGTCTTTACAATTTAATTTTGTATCTAATATAATTATATACTGGTAAGTGGCAATTATTGCCACTTACCAGTATAATATTATATTAGATACAAAATTAAATTGTAAAGACTTTTGTTATTGTTTTTTGTTCTCAAAAAAAGAGAAAGAGGAACAATTTCTTTCTCCAACAGGTACACTAGCACAGCTTACAGTTATGGGGCAATATCGCTTGATTGCCAATTTTTCTTTCATAAGTGAGTTTTTCTAATAAGGGAAGCACTCTCTTGTTGTTTCTGCAAAAAACCTTTCATTTTCACCATTGACCAAAGAAAATCTCAAACCTTTCAGTAAACCAAATGTACTTTTTAGTGGAAGATTTACCAAACTGTCATCCAGCAGATCCTTGGATAAATTCTTTTTTCTGGGAGACCCTCACAGTATGTTAAAAAGCACATGAGGATTATGCCTCCTTTTTTTGAGATCAAGTCTCTAACAGGATCTTATGACAGAGAGTTATCACAGTGACTGTAGCCATCACAATTCAATTATTGTTATTGCTTGTAAGAATGGTGTGATATCTAGGTGATCTATGTCAAGACCTTTCAGATTTTCAGGCTGTTAAGAGTGATCTAATGTCTATTCTTTCCAATCCTGTACTATATGATGTGCTGTGTTGACTTAATTTTAAAATCTTCGAGGATCTTTCTATTTCTTATAAAGATCTTCAAAGATCTTTTATTTTCTTGCCAAGATCTCCAGGGGTCTTTTATTTTCTTTCCAAGATCTTTAAGGATCTTCAAACTTTTTGAGAAGACCTCTGACGATTGATGACAAGATCATCACTTTGCAAAAAAAAATCGTTAATGCATTATTTGAACAGGACCACTATAAACTATATAAAAATTAATAGCAAGGTTATGAAATGCACCATTTAGCAGAATTTAGTTCATTTCATTTTGATCTAGACGTAAACTAAATGAGGTGCAAGAAGTCAAAGTGGAAGATTTACTTTGAACAAATTAATTGGGTATCAAATCTGATGACACAAATGAACCTTGATCAAAATTTAAATCCTCAAGGGGTTTCTCATCAAAACTAGGTGGAGATTATTTGATATTCTAATTGATTGCTCTGCAATCTTGCTGTCAAGTTTGATTATCAAAATTAAGTGAAAAGGGTTACATTGGAAGCCATTGCAGGGGACCAGTTGGATATAATGGAATTCCCTAATGTCCTTTTTTTTAGTTTGGTATCTCAGGAGTCTTAAGTCCAAAATTTGAAATTAGCCTTTAGCGTTTTCGCAGCCAAGCAATTTGTTCAAAGAAGACACAGTTGCATAAGAACAAGGTCTATATACATGTAGGTTTCTTTTTGGCTTCCAAAGTTTTGCCTACAGTTCATGCCTTTGGGTGACCACATGTCAAGTTATGTCAACACTCTGAAAACTGGAAATGTCACAACCAATGCATGTCAGAAACATGGAGACATTCAGCAGAGTCTCAGGGGACTCTCAGGAAAATAATTTTTTTGCCTGTGACAGACCTTAGTTCAATTCACTAGCTGGTAATTTTGATTTTAATTTTTTATGTTTAAAAGTGGCTCAAACAGCTGCAGCATAATTTGTTTACTGGTCACTTGTCTGAGGAGCAGCGAAGATTACTCTAACCATGAGCCCTGATCCATTTGGATGAAATTTCTATAATCTTTTTCTCTTTCAGTCATGCTTCTTTTGGACTATTGCCTATCTTTCCGGTTCTCTATTCACTGGGAACCCGACAGACAGCATGCAAGTGAAATCAGGAGATGTGTACAGGATTGGAATTCAAGAACCAGGATATTTTGCAAGTCATTTATGGTGACAAGTTGTAATTGTCTTTTCAAACTTGGGCATGCTACATAATTCATTTCGAGAGTAATGTAAGTAAATAAATCATGCTCATTTTAATACTATTATTTTAAAAAACTTTTTCTGGGAAACTTAGTTAAAATAGCAGTGCTGGTTTGATATGACATGAAAAAAAAGATTCCAAAAAAGTAACCCTTGTCTTGAAGGTCTGCTGTATCCCTAAGTCCGTGAGAGTTATTGCCTAATGCAGTTAAGTATAACTATAACATAGCATGTGTACATGGCATGACTATTTTCTGAGGAGCTACCATGCTAAAAATCCTTAAGTACTGCATGCCCATGCATCTATCACATGAGATGTGCAATTTCACTTCAGCTGAAAGTTCTCATTGAGTCTAGCCCTGAGGTTTAGAAACTTTCAAGATTTTTTCCTGCTCTATCCCGATTGTGAAAGACCTTTTGGAGCTCAAAATGAAAATGAAACACTCAAGAAGCTAGAGTTCCTCTCGGCTGCGCCTCTAGCAACTCTTATGCTTCTTTCATGCTCTCCAAACTTCTCATGTGTATCCATAACTGGATATATGTATGCTAAGCATGGATCAGTTCTTTACTGGTATGTAGTAACTTAAATCTACAGCCACGTGAAGTTTGAATTCTTTTTGCAATAATCTGATTGCAACAGACATATTCATTCGAAAGCTTGACATAGTTCATCAATGTTTCCTTAGTTTCTACTTATTACTACAACAAGTATCCAGAAAAAAAATTGTTTGTTAAAAAAATTTGTACGGGAAAAGATCAGTCAAACCACAACGTGTTGTGTCGTGGTTAAAGTTTGAAAATCACTTTAGATTTCACGTCGATGACACAGTCATTAAAATTCATTATGAAATGTGGACATTCAATTCTCAATTTATGAAAGTGAAAATGTTCTTCGCTAAAAATTAAATTCCTGTATTATTCATGGCTAGTGAATTGCGGTTCTCGCAAACAACGTGTGGATTAAAATCCTTTTGTTCTGCAGCGAACACAGATTTGACAGGATTTCACAACAGCGTGAACACGATTTCAAATGAAACTTAACACAACATAACATAGGTCCGTCTTCCATCGGCCTATGCGCGTTAAATATCACTTGAGGAGGTCAAATGTTATAAACTTGCTCGTGAGGTGCATGAACATGTCTTCTAGGGGGCTTAGTTGGGCAAGAAAGAGCAACCTATATTTATAAAAATGCGCCATATTTCTTTCTGTTCGACCACGCATGACAAGGACATGTTTTGAGGATCAATATCAGTCTTCGGTATAACGAAAGGCAAACAGTGATCTTAGAGATATTAGATGGACTAATAGTGATCTAAATTAAACTTATAATGAGAGATGGATAAAAATAACGAAACGAACGCGTCTCAGCATTGTAAGAACAACTCTCACCTTTTTCTTCGACTTAAACATGGTGAACTTAGTAAATACTTCGGTTTGAAAGGTCACCAATCCATCTGTAAGTTTTTTCTTCGCATCTTATGGCGTTTTAAAACCCATAGAAACGTGAAAAGTTTCCATAATTAACTTTTTCTTGAGAAACTTATCTGTCTCTGACACCTTGATTCATCACGATGATTGTAGTGTCCAGTTTCCCGTCTTAATCGCAATTGTTGTACTTCCGGGAGGTCCGGCTTTCATTTCAATATTTCGAAAGAAATAACATAATCTCTCTCCAGCGGTAATCGTTGCAAGGACATCGGAAGGAAGTCATACTTCCAAAAATTTGCCTTATACGTTATCATTATTTTTAGATTAGAAACCGAAACGGGTGTAATTACGCATAAAAAAATTACGCATTAAAAAAATGCTCACGTCCGAATAGACCCGGCTTTTCAAAACATTATGTTATTTATTCAGTTTCGATTAGCATAATTTGCACTGGTTGTACTCACCAACCATAACAAAGCTCTGCACAGATTTGAAAGCATATTCATTGGCAGAGAGTTTTCTTCGCAGGAAATCGAAGATATCCGCGAAATTGACGGTGTGTCAGAATCAAGTCGAAATCCCTCTGAGCCCGGCCTCTTTTTTCCTTTTTTTGAATTAGCAGTACAGTGATTGAACTATCTAACTCTATTGAATATCAATACAAATCATACAAAGTAGTTTGCTGAAAAATTGTCAATCTTTGACAGGTTTTCCCTACTCCAGCTCGTTCTTCAAAGAATTTATCCTCCGGAGCGGAAGATCGCCGACTGGAAAGGACAATTCGTGGAAAAAATAGTCGGTGGAAACCCAGTTTCCTCCTTAGTTTCTGACACAGTTGTTCTTGTCTTCTCGGTGCTTGAGGCTTGAAGAAGTTATTGAAGCATTTTCAGCATTACAAGAGAACAAAATGAGCCCTCACAGTCTTTTTAAGCCTTAACATTTTTTGAAAAAAACGAAATTCTTGCTGGTGTATCATAAGTGGTCCGCTCTCTTCAAAGCTAGGTCTCTTTCCTGGAATTTTCGGCACTTCGGCTTTCCGGCGGTTTCCAGGAGTAAAACGGAAGTATTCGACAACTTGAAAACGTCGTTTCTTTTTTAAATTCATTTTGAGTTTTAAATTTTACAAATTTACATTCACTGACAAATTGATAGATCTTCAGCTCTAAACACATCGAACGTCAGGACACGTTTACAAAACAAAATTGCAATGAACGAAATCCATATATCTTTTACAGTTTAAGTCAACAAATATGAAACAGAAATTTGTTTACACACCTTGATCCTCACGAGGAAACTAACGACTCGATTGTTTCCGATCATCGTCAGCTAACTAGATGTTGGTGATATTGTGGCTGCGTAGTTGTTTTTACTGGTTCAATGTTGTTGTGTTCCTAGAAATCTTAGCTCAAATTCACTTCAGTTTTTCCGTTGGTTCTGAATCGCTTCCTCAATAGTTTCATCTAACTTGCTTTAAGCAAAACCAAGGAGCTTAAGTACTTTTCAATCATGTGTAACATATTTAGAGCTGAGGTCTGATTCTATTTGTTGCACGATGTGACCTCTTGGGCAGCGTATGAACATGTTGGCATCTTCCGCCAGGGTTGTTTTTTTATCAAATGAAATCACGTACGCTTGGTTACCCTGTGGTACACGATAGTCATGAACACGTAGTCTTAAAAACCTCAGCAAACCTAATTCCCTGAAGTTTAGCTTATTAGTTTGTTGTCTAATTAACAGGAAGATTAACAAGGAGTAGTTAAGTTAAAAAATTGTATGTGTCCCCTCTTCGATTGGGACTTCCTTGCCGTAAAGAGTGCAACCTCTTTTGATCGAAATAAACGCTGTTTGTGTGTTTGCTTTTCTAGTTAAAAGTGAATTAAGACGCGATAATATGGCTGAATCTTTTATCTATGAACTATGAGCAACGAGGAAATTTTCCTCCATAAATAGAACAAAAACAAAAAGTTGAACTAAATTTGTCCAGTTGTTCTTTAGGTGTTTGGTAAATATTTTGAACAGTTTTCGGACCAATGTTTTGTTGGTGTACAAGTTAACTCTTTCCTCGAGTTAAACTGAATTTAGTATAATTTTCTCAAATGTCTTGTTTTTCGGTGTATTTTCAGCTGCACAAACAAAGTTTTTCGAGTCGAGCAAGGTCTGCAAAATCCTTAAAAATATTGCGTACGTGGGAAAATGTATAGAGTACGCAAATAGTCCAGAGGTGAAAGCACGCATAGAACGTGTAGTTCGCGGTGGAAAAAAAACAAATGGAACAGCGAGACTTGCATTAAGTACTGCTCAAACTTGCATATTAAAAAGCATATGATAAAATGATCCATACTATTATTACTGAATAGATATGGAAAACCCAAAATATGACTGTCACGTGACGGAACTCGTCTTTCAGCGAGCAAAATTATAGGTCTGATTGTTTGATTAAATTTTAGTCGTTGTTTAAAACTAAAAACGTTTATTTATTTGCGTGAACAGCGTGAAGGGGACCGAAAGCTGACAGCGGAAGGAAATTTATGTAATTAAATCAATCTTCTTCTGGAGAATCCCTGAGGCTCACTGATTGTGCATAACTGTGGTTTGGGTTTGGGCTCTTGTAAATAACCGGACCATATTGTCTAACTGCTGATGGAGTCCTTATCGATGACATTTTCACAAAAACTAGGAAAATGTAAGCCGCTATATTTTCTGCGATCGGGCTCAGATGAGGTAATATTTTAAAAACAAATCGAAAAAAAAAGAAAGGAACTGACCTTGGTCAAATTAAATACGCGTCAACGAGTAGCTGATTAAATAATAAATGAAAATCATGTCAACTTATCATGTCAACTTATACCTAATAAAAAGGCAAATTAATGAATGTTTTATAGAGAGCTGGTCAATAAAGAATTATTCAACGACAATAGCCAGCGTAATAAAAGTCATAAAGGTCTTATTATTGAAAAGAATCAGACAGGCGACCTATTCCTCTCAAATCGACTCAAAACCAGTTTTGTGGGATAAATTTATTGTTTGCGTCATATTTCTACACTTTCATATATTCAGAAGACGCATAAACAGAGAAAAAGTGGAAATACTCAAAACAAGGTACTGTTGAATATTTCAATGATAACTCGCTGTTTCTAATTCGTTCCAAAGTGGACTGAAAACTTTTGACGCTGAGGTTACAACATTACTGATCCATTTCGTAAGTGATTGTGGCTTCCTTACATTATTCTTGCTGTCATTGTTAATGTTCCTTTTAATCTCTATCCATGAAAGGAGTTTCTACAAGTAAGAGAAACAATGGTTGCTGGAAAATTGTTATAAATGTAGTTAAGAATGGTAAAAAAAAAAGCAGAGAAATGGCGGTCTTAGCTGTTTTATTCAGTTGTGAAAAGCTATGATGAGTTGTACAATCTACCCTCAACCGAACAACAAAACAACTAAATTTTTATTTCAATGGTCTACATTGGTTTATACACGAATATTTTGCCATTTTCTTCTCTTTTAATTGTATTCAGTAGTTGTGTCTGGTAGATGGGAAATGTTTTATTCAATTGGCACTTCACTGTCTAGAAAAAAAGACTGTTTTTCAAATGACCTCAAATTTGCATAACTTTTGTATCTATCGTCAAGAAAGTGTCATGATGCAGGGGTTCAACTTTATCCGATTCAATTTTTAATTTCCCTCGGTTTAAAAGGAAGAGAGTCTCAATGGGGTGATAGATTTTACGGCTAACGTTGTCACCAGCAATTTTCTTTATCAGTTATTTTGTTACGACTTGCGGTTGCAATTTGCCAATTTTTACGCCTAACGTTTTTTGGCCATTTCACAGCTATCAGTTTACCCCATTGAGACCCTCTAGGAAGACCAAGGAGGGGAGGAGAGATCCAGGAAGTTAACCTGAATCAATATCAGTATCTGGGCAACTACCCACCTACCCCTCCCCTAACCCAACATTAACCCTAACTTGTTATCAATAGACGGTTGTTGGGTTAGGGGAGGGGTAGGTGGGCAGTTGCCCAGATACTGATATCGATCCGTTAACCCTTTACACCCTAAAATCAATATCCCTGTTCTCCATACCCGTCTCCATACATTTCCTTTGGTACTGACAAGGAGAATTCGTTTAATAATCACAGATTCTTAGGTTTGCGATCGTTTTCTTTATTCTCATGATCTCAATGAATAATTCAGCTGTATTATTGTAGGGAGAAATTAGATGCTGGTCACTCTAAGGGGGTTTAAAGGGTTAAACCTGAAGGTGACAACTTTCACCTGAAGAAAATGGTCCAACATACATTATGAATGTGCGCTTTGATGCTCTCTCTCCTTTTATAAACTGTTTCTTATTTTTTGGTTTCATTTTAGATGACAACTCTTCTGTCAAATAGAATAACCATCATATTGTGCATGAGTATCTTGACTGCGGGCTCAGATTCGAAACAGTCTATACCTTGCGTCGAAAACTGCAAAGTCAACGAGATTCCTCGAAGACCCATTTCATTTCAAGTTTGCGGAGATCAAATTGTGTCGGCCATTAAACAGATCTGCGGAATACACGCAAGAGAAATGAGAGATGGTAAGATATTGCAATAAACGGCTGAGCTATAAACGTATAATGAAACAATACATTAACCTGAGTGTGACTACCTACTTCTGACCAAATTCGGTGCAACTTAGAAACAAAAAGAAAAATATAACTAACCATGAAACATTCTGTTTGTAAACCTAATTTTTATCTCTGTCATTTAAAATTGATCTTATGTAAAAATGTTGGTACGTAAACTATAGACGCCTCCATTTTTAAACATCTCAGTGATCTGGCACCAAACCCAAAACCACAACGCGTGCTTCATAAACAGTGGCTGTTTTCGTTATTGTAAGTGTCAAGAACGCCCTTTTGTTTAGTACAGGCAAATCGTCGGGAGATGAGTCTTTGTTACGTCGTCAATAATAAGTGGCAAGGTTACTGAGCACGATTAAAAGATGGCGGCATACATCAGGCATGCGCAAGGGAAAATTGCGAGGGGATCAATTTTTGGCCACCCATAGAGCCAATTTCTCGCGCAAAATTCCAAGGTAAAGCATAAGAAACAGGCGCTGTATCCCAAAATGAGCGAACTTTAATTCAGTAAAACTTTCATAGAAATCTCAGTAACAAACACAAAGCTTATTCTGTTTTCTGTTGATTTTTAATTATATTTTGAACTTTACCAAAAGAGTTTTTTTAACTGAAAAACACTATGACTTACTGGCTTGTATATTTGTTTGTCATTCAAGACTATTTTTAAACTTTCAGGTTGTTTTTCTGAGTCTGGCAATGTGGCTAATATTTAGTATTTAAAACTTTCAAGGGTGTGTATAAAAATGATATGGGTTCTTTTTCTTTAAATCAGTTTGGCCAATCATTTTTATTTCGCAGCACGTGACTTAGTCTGGGAAAAACGAAGAGCTTCGAAGTTTCTATCGTCAACTGGAAGATTCCGTAGGTCCTACACGGTCGTGGAGGAGTGCTGTATAGAAGGCTGTGTCATCGAAGAACTGCGCGAATATTGCTAATTTCGTACTAAACTAACACTAAGTGTCTTTCAATGCTAGTTACGCACTCCGTGGACATAAAAGGTGTCTAGAAAAGGGTTGCGATCTTTCAAATTCTTTATGAAAGCTGGACAATCAAATGGTCACTGAAATGAATCACTCATCTTGAATTTCTTGTGAATCAAATCATCTGATAACAATAAAAGATTTTTGCCTTAGGGTGAAGACATATGGCTGGTAGACAAAATTGTTTGCGAGAATTGCTTAGTGATGACGTTCAGAGTAAACATTACTTGACGCACTTTCCCCGTCACGTCTTCCATGAGGCTAAAAAGTACACAAAGGAGTTCATTACTAAACTTGATTTGCTCAAAAATAGGAACTTTTCCCCTTAGTAAAAGGCGTGAGTGTCGAACCGCATCATTTTTGCCATAATTTCTAGTTACCGCCGCGCAATTAAGATCTTGCTTTTAGCGCGCAGAGCAGGAAATACTTCAAATATCATGCATCGGCTGTCCACAACAAATCGGACAATATTAAGTCTGAGGTTACCTCGGTTCTATTTCGATGTTGCTTTTATTCATAGAGAAGCACATTAATATATTAAAGAATACTGAATGGCGCGCCGGTTTGAAGCAATTTACGAACAGACAATGTTGCCCAGTGTCGCCGAGAGTAAATTACCTTTCCTTGGTCTCTGTTACGTTGTTCAAGATGTTGGGAACAGCTTTTCGTTGTTATGTTGATAAAAAAGTAATCATTGATTGTGAAAAGAATAACATGCTGATTTATATTTGCGTATCAATATCAAGGTTGACTAGTAACACTT